GTTAGTTTGGCTGCTGTTCTGGTTTGACTGCGGGTACAGGGCATAGAAGCTTCCAGGCTGTAAGTAATGAGCTGGGGGCTATACTGTGTAGAGATGGAGGAGAAGAGCGGTGTGATGGCGACACCTGGTGGAGAGGAGAGGTAGCGTCAAGAGAGGTTTTTATTTCTTTTTTGTAAGAAAAGGGTACAAATGTTAAGTCAACATAGATTAAAACAGAAACTAAATAAAAATGAGAATTGATCAAAACTAGCTTCTTTAAACATGTTTCTATTTTGAGGTTTGAAGATATTATTATTACTATTTCAGTGTTGGGAAAGTTACTTCAGAAACATAGTACATTTTCTATGACTTGTTACTGTTATTTCAAAGTAATGTGTGACACTGCAATATTACTGACTTTGAATTGTATAACTACTACTGCATGGTGGATAGCGCTCTCGCCTCTCAGCAAGAAGCTCCTGGGTTCAATCACTGGTCAGAACAGGCCCTTCTGAGTGAGGTTTTCATGTTCTCCCTGTGTCTGCAAAGGTTTCCTCTGGGCCCGTCCGTCTGTGCGAGCGGATCTCTTTCAAATGGACCTCCCAGAGGTTGCTCACCTTTTCCCATTGGGTTTTTAAAGCTGTTTCTTGCCATTGTAGGAGGATTTAAGGACCATCCAGGATACTCCACATTCAACAATTGGTCTCTGCCCTGGTTTAATGGCTCCATGTGTTTCTTGTCATCGCATTTCTTGTGTTTGAACTGTTGGATTCTCTGATCTGTGTTGGCGAATTCACCAGTTTTGTAAATTAAATTGAATAGATTAGCTTTTCATACACATTGTAGATGTTTAAAAAAATCTACAACAATAATAATAATAATAATAATAATAATAATGTAATGTAATAATAATTAAAGCCACAAGCTTGACTTTCAAACCACCGAGGGAGATGTGTTTTAAGCTGTTATAAGCTGTGTGTTTTGTCGGGGCTGAAGTTGGCTGAGTGATGTGTGTTTATGATCTTCATGTATTCTCTCTTTGTTGTTGAGAGACATGAAGCATCCTTTGGTTTAAGCAAATAAACTATATGTTGTTTTGTTTATGTAAGATGGACAGTTTAGAATCGGTCACAATGTTCCACACAACCACAGTAGAAATGAAAAGTAATAGTTGTAAAATCACATAGTTGCAATTTCTTTCTTTATATGTTTTTTTTTTTGATGCAAGGAAGCGGGGGGGGGGGGGGGGGGGGATGGACCCTTTTCACATTTGCACACTGCGCACATTGGTTCCTTCATAAGCACAGGTCGTCAGCTCGGATGTCTTCTCTGTTTAATAGATCTATCAGTTTAAACGTTCGGTCATTAGTCTCAGTTTTGTATCCAGCAGATCCTCTAGATGGCGCCAGAGATATGTCAGGGAGAAACCGATTAGACGTATTGCATTAACGCTGTATACGTTCCCAAGTATTATTATTATCATAATAATACGGCATCTATTCATTCACTCCATTCATGGTGGTATGGTCAGCTACTACTGTAGCCATAACTGCCCTGGGACAGACTACAGAGGCTGCCAACCTGAGTCGGCCCCTCTGACCACCACCTTTCATTCACACACATTCATTCATGTGGTGGTCAGCTACTACTGTAGCAATAGCTGTCCTGAGACAGACTACGGAGGCTGCCAACCTGTGTCAACCCCTCTAACCACCACATACAATCACACCCATTCATACTTGTGGCCGCAGTCGTCCCACTGTGGCGCCTGGTCTTACAGCGGTCTCCCATCACTGACATCACCCTTTAGCATCAGAGGCAGCAAACAGTAGCTGTTAGTCGTTAGCTTCATGACCGAACACACACACAATACTCAGGAGCGTGGTTCGGTCGGTAGAAGTCTGTCTTTTGACGATTGCGTCTCCACTTTTTCTGAGGATAGTGTGGAGAGAGGCCCTCCTGAGGGTCCTGGATCTGCTGCTTAGAGGGATTCTTCTGCGGAAAGTTCAGTTCATATTTCAGGCGTTGGTTCTCGTCAGCGGCCTTTTTTATTGACCTGTATGCCAGTGCCTTTGCCTCCTTGCATTTGTTCATCTCCTCCTCTATTTCTTCAATAACAAAGTTTTTCAGGACAAAGTTCTCTCTAAACTACTCCATCTGAGAAGTTTTTCCTTCAGCTCATAATTACCTTTCCTCAGATGCATCTCCTGGTCCTGCATCTTGGTCTCCGGCTCCTCAATAAAAAGGACAGCATCTAGAAGACAATTACTTCTAATGTGTTCATGTTTTCTTCTTCAACTTTTAGAGAGATCTGTGTCCATACCTTTCCTTTCGTTGCCTGTCCTCTTCAGCCCGCTTCTCCAAAGTCCTCAGAGTCTGCTATATGGACTGCAGCTCTGTGGACAAGTCCTGTTTCTCCTTCTTCAATATCGTGGAGAAGTTGGTGGCCTCTGTGTTCTTTTCCACACACCTGGCACAAGCCTCTTTCAGGTCCTGCACCTCATCCTTTGCCGTCTGCAGCTCTGCGATGGTTTGTTGCAGAGAGAGTTGAAGGCTGTTTTCTCCTGGAGGGAGGTGTTGAGTTGGTGATGGATCAAGGGGGTGGAATCCAAAAAGTTCTTCTCCAGCGCAGATTTCTCTGTCTGCAGCTGTGTCACCTGCTCCTTCAGCTTTTGTGTTTCAGCCTCTTGAGCCTTACATTTGATCATCTCTTCCTGCAATAACAAAGATTGTCAGGACAAAGTTCTCTCTAAACTCCTCCATCTCTTTCTGAGACCTGAGCAATTTTTCCTCCAGCTCATAGTTACCTTTCTTCAGGTGCATCTCCTGGTCCTGCATCTTGGTCTCCAGCTCCTCAATGTAATGTTCAGCATTTAGAAGACAAGAGTTCATTACTTCTAATGTGTTCATGTTTTCTTCTTCAACTTTTGAGAGATACATGTACAGTATGTGTCCATACCTTTAATGATGGAGTCCTTCCTTCGCCTGTCCTCTTCTGCACGCTTCTCCAAAGTCCTCAGAGTCTGTTGTATGGACTGCAGCTCTGTGGACAAGTCCTGTTTCTCCTCATTCAGAGTTTGTTTTAGGGACTCGAGTGCTGTGGACAAGGCCTGGTTCTTCTCCTTCAGGATTGTGGAGAAGTTGGTGAAATCTTTGTTCATTTCTTCACACCTGGCACAAGCCTCTTTCAGGTCCTGCACCCCGTCCTTTGCCGTCTGCAGCTCTGCGGTGGTTTGTTGCAGAGAGAGTTGAAGGCTGGTTTTCTCCTGGAGGGAGGTGTTGAGTTGGTGCTGGATGACAGATAGTGGGGCGTTTCCCTAGGGCACACATGGGCAAAAAATGGGTCCGGTCCGTCAAGCTATTTAATCAGGCCCGTTGCTCATTTTTCATAAACGTCTACCTTTTTAAGAATTTTTACCTCCACCATGTTTTTTAATTGTTATCATAGGCTTAGAATTTAACTTATAAATGTCCATGAGAGAGAGCTGAATACTATCCATGTCATTGCGCCATCTTGAAATACAGTGGTGGATAAGGGACAAAAAGCATTTTTGTTTCACAGGTGCTACTGAGGTTATAGCTTTCACTGTTTCACCCTCACAAATTTGAAGAAGGAACCATGGAGGATCATATTTATGTAAAAGAACGACCCGAACAACAATCTTTTAGAAAAACAATTATCAAAAAAGGCTGACGTCATAACAGCAAACTGTCAACATCGCAAACCACACACACTGAAAGGCAGAATTAAAACAACAGAAAGCACATTGTGTAGTTTGTACACAACAGACTCACACAAGAACAATACGTAACTTTCTTCACACTGACAATAATGAGACCGAGGCAGACTCTACAACACAGTTTCAGGATGTTCTGACCCGATCCGAGCGCAGTCCAACTACTGTCACAAGTTTCAACTACAAGCCTAAAAAAAAAACACACAGAATCTCCACAAAACACTCGCCAGAATATTTGATCAGCAGCGTGTGTGGATGACAAGATAGGGCACTGTGGCTAACGCTAATAAACACATGACCTTTTTGCCATGTTCTGCCGCTGTGTATGCACATTGCGTTTGTAAAACTATATATTATGATAGATCCATGGTAAGACTCAGTAGAGCCTCTGTGTAGCGGGTGCTGCTTCAGAACGCGGTCTTGTTTACATGTCGCCTCCACATAACTATCAAGTGCTGGAGACATTTGGAGAGATCCGGTCATTTATCAAACTAAAGTATTCTTTCCTTTTAGCCTGGTGAATGACTGAGACTTAAGGAGCACTGTCAAAGACGACATATTGTCTATCGAAAGCTTCCGTAGTACCCTGGACTGCAATATAAGATCTCAACACTAGATGGCAGTAAATATTACACAATGTGTCTTTCTGGAGAACATTGTCAACAACCAGAAACCTGAGTGATGGTGAAGTGGTGCGGACATCAAGGGCAGTAGCTACGCTGCAAAAGGGGCAAAACTTTCACCAAGCTTTCATCGCTAAAAACACCATTAACATCAGGAGGGTTTTTTTAAGTTCAGTGATGTTTAGTGACAATGAAATATGAATGGTTAATGTTTGGACACAAAGACAACATTTTCCTTTTGGCTCATTCACTGAGTTTGCCCATCTCTGAGACCAACAGATGGCGCCATTTATACTGTTTTTAGTGTTTCAACATTAAGTCTCCATTCCTATTGATTTTATTACATGTAAGGACTTCACCGTATAGCTCCAGTTTTGTGGGTTGGAACGTACCCCAGCTCTAACTTATCTTTATCTTGTGGACATGAATATCATTAGCCTAATCCATGCCTGGTGGCCAGTCTGAAGCGCGTGCCCGTCAGGCTATGCGCGCTCCAGACGCCGCTGTCACACACACACACACACACACACACACACACACACACACACACACACACACACACACACACACACACACATACACACATACACACACACACATTCCACGCCGCTGCCTCACGTGTTTCCAGTCCCGTATATAAGCGCCCCTCGCCGGCCTCAGCATGTCGAGCAAGTCCCCTGACAAGCGGAGGAAGATGGAGTCTGCACTCAGCCAGCTCAAGCAGTACACGGTGGTTGTGGCCGACACCGGGGACTTTAACGGTAATGCACGGAGAAAATCCCACGCGCTAATGCGGCTAAGCTAACATGCTAATCTGTCATGACCCCGCTCTGTCAACGCTGTATTCCAAAGGCTAGCTAGACCACGAGCTAATGCTAACACGCTACATTACTGCTATTTCTTATAGTTGTAGTTAATTTTCTGTATTTCTTTATTATTATTGCTCCTCATGTTAACCCTTTCTTGCAATTTTAACAAACTTACACATGCATTTTGAACTTTCAGTGGTAATGACAACAGGTAGCTCAGGTTAGTTAGGTTGTGTACTTATAATAAAACAATAGAAAGCTGGTAGAATGGATGCTTTGTTACACGCTTCCTTGTATGTGTACATGCTGTGAAACAATGAAAGGTTTGGTTTCTCAACAACTGAATGAGGAACAGTAATTGCATTATTGTGGCTGTGATGCAAAGCTGTCCTCTTCCTTGTGCGTTTGTCCACTCAGGATGACATGACACAATCTGCCCAGCCTCACATTGCATTAGTAATGTGTACCTTAAACCCTGATTCACTGGGTTTCTCGTGCATGTAGAAGTTTAAAGTATTGTCACATGTTTTTAGATCTTTTTTTCTGAGAAGAGATTGCATCCTCATTCAGTAAAGCATCACCTCTCAACCCAAATCTCAGTGAAATAAGATGAACCCATGTTTGGGCATAATTTGTTGTGATAACTTCTTTATGAAACAAAGTGGAGTAATTGATGGGGTTATAAATTGGCAAAAAAATGTGCCGATTCAATAGTATTGCCATTCTAGTAGGCTACAATGTGACCCTGCTTCCATCTCTGTGTGGAGTGAGAGGACAAATGCCCAATTGTAAACCGCTTTGTGACTGGTCTGTGAAAGGCGGTATATAAATAAAGATTCCTTACTTACATTTAAAGAACACAGCTTAAAGGCTGAAGTTTATATGTGCCTACCCATGCAATTTCAATGCATATTGTGATACAGAGGACATTGCAATTTGATTCTGCGATATATTTTAATGTCTCTTATAATAGTCAAATATTATAATACAAAGGTGTCGCTCTGACTGCCACCCCCTCGATCCAGAAATGAATTAAGGGGAAGAAAATGGACGGATGGATTACAAACGTGCAGAAAAATAATCTCCCTGTGACATTCATGGTACTTGAACTGAAGCAAAAACATAACCCTTGAACATTCAGGACACAGGACCTTATTACAGACAAGACATTGATCTCTGAATAGTCAACCTCTCACATGAAGGTGAGCTCCCAGCACATGACCTCAAATACAATAGACTCCTGTGTCAATTGACTTGCATCTTCAAAATATCGCAATACTGGGCTTCTTTTTCTTTCCTCCCCCATTTTGATTTCCTTCATGGTATACGTTAATAATTTAATTAATGTGTTAAATTACTTGTAACAACTTGTGTCTATGTAGATTTGACATGAATTATAGTCGCTCACATATTTGCCTCTGTACAGATCGTTCCTTTTAATCTGGGCGTTTGTGTTGTCTGGTTTTGGGTGGGAGCTGGTTTTGGGTGGCAGCTCTCACAGCCACCCCTCCGACCCATAAATTGACTAATAAAGGGGTTATGAATTAATAATTTAAATGTAAAATTTTGTCTAGTGTGCTTACCACTTTTACGTTTTCCACCAAAGAGTTGCAAATCTAATACAAGATTCCATCAAACATTTTTAAGTGTAACAATAAGGAAATCTTACAAGAGCCTAATATTTGCATCAACTTTGTTTTTTTTTTTTTAAAGAGAAGCTCAAATTCAACAAAGTAAGTTTAAGGAAAAATGACATTTTGCTCCAGACGTGAATTTCAGGATTGTTATTGTTCAATCTTCTGATTATTAAATCACATTTTTGGCCTTCTGTCACTTTTGTACCCTTAAGTATGAACAAGCCCAAATCTGTATTCAGAGCAGTGTTGACACCAGGGAGGAACCTTAATGTATCACAATTGTTGGAATTTGGTTCTGTCCTTGCATTTGTATTGAATTCCTGAATTATTTCTTGCATGCAGAATGCCACACTGACCAGCAGAGGGCAGACTTTTCCAATCAAACTTGAGTGAATAGGTCCTCTGTGCTGTTTGGCAGATCACTTTTCAACACAAATTGCAGATGCTGAACTTGAGGTTACTCATTACTAAACCACCAAAAACAACTTTCCCATCAGCCTTTAGTGAAATTCCAATCAAGTTATTGACGTCCCGCTTCAGACCCCTTGGGCTTTTTTCTGTACATTTTCTCTTTTGAACTAAACTTGTTAAGACACGACAAGGCATTGGATTTTTCTGGAACTTGAATTTAAAGTACCACGTCATGCAAGTTTTACTCGTAGTTCAAAGATGTTTAAATCTTTCTAAGCCATTTTTATTAGAACTCTTTAAGATGACAGTTTCTCTCATAATCAAGATTTTGTAATGTTTTTATATTGCTGTATTCTAGTCGATGGTTCTTCTGGCTTTGAACAAAAAGTAATTGACTTGCTCAGACAGTGCTATAGGGTGTCATACGTCAAAGTCTCATGTGAAGTATGTGGTGCTATAAATACAGAACTGTCAGTGCTGTTGTTAAATAATGTGCACATTTTCAAAGAAGGTAAAAAGACTAATTACCATGACAATCCAGCAATATATTTTAAATAGGTAGTTTATTTTATTTTGTCAATTACCTTATTTAAAGATGTCTACTTGTGTCTACAACCAAATACAACCATCAAATCCATTCGACATGCCTTTTATTGAGGAATTAAATGGGTAAAACCATGGAAAGAGATGGGGCTGGATACAGATGTAACCAGCTGAAGAAACGCCTTTTCAAGGAGCCGTCTGCACCAGGAGCAGAGGGCCAGGGACGACACAGGACCCAGAGGAGACTCGGGGATACTATTACAATAAAAAGTGAAATGTCAGACTAAAGAACACAAATGATGACAATACTAAAGTTTGTCTAATGGAGGAATAGGTTGTATAAAATTTAAATAATAAACACTAACCTTTAGCGCAACCACTGACCATGTTTGTTTTGCAGCTATCGAAGAGTTCAAGCCTCAAGATGCCACGACAAACCCCTCCCTCATCCTCGCGGCCGCCAAGATGCCAGCCTACCAGAAACTGCTCAACCAAGCAATCGAATACGGCCTCGCCAAAGGAGGGTAGGTTCAGCTCCAGCTCTGCCATAAGAATGAATTCCTGTGACATCACAATCCCTCCTTCTGTCTCAATTTAAACGCCATGTCTCAATCACGTGTTTAGAAAAATGTTCAGTATGGAAGCTCAAACTAAACTTTTGTCCTAATGAAGTATTTTTTTTCAACCAGTGTGCCTTGAGATTTATGTAGTGTGCTTTTTGGAAATGAGCCAGTAAAGACACTACACTACACTAACCCCACGCTTGTGTTTTTCTAATATAAAACACATTGAGAATGACTTTTCCTTGTTTTATGGCGCAGGTTCAGCTGGTGGTCACTAAGGGCAGTCTTGCACAGTTTTTCCAATGTGGTTTTACTGCAAATGAATTCTTGTATTATGTTCAATGTAAAAGGCTAACTGTTCTTTAATCGTGTTCAGGACTGAGGAGGAGCAGATTGCACACATTATGGACAAACTCTTCGTCTCCTTTGGTCTGGAGATCCTCAAGAAGGTTCCGGGTCGTGTCTCTACAGAGGTGGATGCCAGGTTTGTTTCCCACACTAACTCAACCAAAATAATCAGTCAATTATTAGACATATATTTTAATTGGACTCTGACTGAAGGCTGTCGCTAATCTCTGGGTGTGTCTCTCTGCAGACTGTCTTTTGATAAAGAGGAGATGTTGTCCAAAGCCCTGAGGCTCATTGCTTTGTATGAAGAGGCAGGCATCAGCAAAGAACGTGTGCTAATCAAGCTGTCATCAACGTGGGAAGGAATCCAGGCCGGCAAGTACGTTTGCAACACTTTTGACTCTAAAAACAAAGACTCTCGGCCCAATGTTTGTCCACATGACACATGTTCTCTGTAAATAAACTCTTGGCAGCAACATGGCTGTGTGGATTTTTATCGTTTTCATATTGTGCACGTTTATTTTAAGCCAGTACCTTGGATCAGGCATGGGCGTCCTTCATTTAAATCCTTGTCTATATGACAGACAGTGGTTCAGTTTGTAGAGCTTTGGGCCTGAAGGGCGATCTTCTTCACGACTCCCACTGAAGTCCGCTGTCGTTCTGTCCGTGGGAAAGACACTTAACCCCACTTTGCCTGAAGCCCACTGAAAGATCAAGGCTCCTGTGGACTCGCCACCTGCAGGAGGATCAGTGAGGGGCTGGTGTATGTCTGTGTGACCTGAGGCATTGTTTACATGGAAACGCTTTGGGTAGACTCTTTCCACTTCAAAATCTTCATTCTGCATTTAACAGTAAAATGGTAACTACAGCTTAGACAAAGTTGTAGAAGCCTCAGTGAAAGACTCAAAACCCACATGGCATTCAACCCGCTGCCATTGATTTTGTTTTGCTCCTGCGCATGTCCTAATGTACGTGGGGGAAGTGGTGAAGTCGTTGCAGGGCAGAGATTTCACACAGCCATGAAACAGCCCCCGTCGCTGCGTATCTGTTCCACTTTGGAAGTTCCTCAACACTTGCATTTTCACCTGAATCGCTGTGAAAACCAAAGCTAAAGATGCCCAACTTTATAATTTTACTGTCGCAGCGTCTGTGTTCACGACGCCTGAGAAAATGACTCCTCACAGTCCCCTGCCGTTCATTACTGTCACTGTACTGCTCTGCTAAACATATGTGTTCTTGGTGCACTTGTCTATAGTAGTCATTTTAAGAAGAAATAAACTTAATTCCTTAAAGAGGATTATAATGGACATTAGAGACAGACTTAATAGCCTTTTTATAGATACTTTATTGACTATGACAAATTCAGGTGACAGCAGCATCATCCAGATCTGTTTGTACAGTCTGCATGATCATAGGGTTTTAACTGGGACACATAAGAATGTCATATCCAAATTATTATCAGTTTGTGCTCTTACTGTAGTTCTGCCTCTCCAGCTCTTTCTGGAGACACAATGGAACCCTCAAATAAACTTGTGGAGCAGGATATTTCTTGTTCTGGAAACGGCTTTTGTGCTATTCACCTCCTAAAAGTCTCTTGGTTTATTGTGTTTTGCAGAGAGCTGGAGGAGAAACACGGCGTCCACTGTAACATGACGCTGCTGTTCTCGTTCGCTCAGGCCGTGGCGTGCGCAGAGGCCAACGTCACCCTCATCTCTCCGTTCGTGGGCCGCATCCTGGACTGGCACAAGGAGAACACAGACCGCAAGAGCTACGAGCCGCACGAGGACCCAGGTACACCTGCTCCCTGGGCCTGAACAGAGACATAGACCTGTATCTGCGCTTGGAAAACAGACAAAAATCAAAGGAACTCTGACCTGACATAAAAATCCTTATTTATTCTGCGTTTGTTAGAGCAAAGTTTATATAGTAAACAGTTCAGCATGTGTAGTGCAGCAACACACATGGAGGTAATTTCACATAGAGAGGTGGATCTGTTTTCACAACTATTTAAGAAAAAATTCCTTGGTCCCACAGTGGGGAAGTGTTAGTGTTGCATCAGCAGTTACAGAACAGTAAATGAGGAGCACATAGCATAAGATAAATGAACAATAAATACGAGGATCAATAAAGTATCCTATCTAAACAAAGTGTAAGCTGCTGTATTTTCTAGAAATGTATAGTTGTAAGTCTCTACAGATTTTGTCTAGCTGCTTTATCAGGCTATAGCTAGCCTGATAAAGAAGCATTGATAATTGTATTTTTTGTTTTGGTTTTGTTGTTCACCTGTCTTGTGCCATGTGCGCCTCATTCCAACAGCACGGCGCCACAGTATCATCACGTGCACAGGACTATTCTCTCGTAACTGCATGCAATAAATGCACCCCTGAAGCTGGACTAGAGCCTCACTCGCCGTGTCTTCTCCCAAAGCGCACTCGCTAAATTAAAGCTGGGGTACCTAATTTTTCCCTTCCACTACCAGTTCATGTTGGCCTTGCCCAAAAGTAAAATGTTGTGAGCAAATCGGACAGATTTAATGACATTCTGCATTTCAGACTTTTGAAATGTCCCTCATCTGTAACAAATAGTTTTGGTCTCATTCTATGTGGAGTTATTGTTATAATTCCCAAATACAGTACATGTGTACGCTATTGTCATTTATCTTTCAATTCAAACAACCATTTACATAAAAATATGGCATTTGCAGATGGTTTGCAAAGCGCTTATTAAATTTTTAAGCTGTTTAATAATTTGACCGCCCTAGTTTAGACTGATCTTGCACCAATTCTGACTGTTTTATGCAAATCTCCCTGGGCTGATGAAACGGTTTGTGAAAAACCTGTTGCTCCATCACATGTGACTTCTCCTGGTAAAGTTCTGTCTGCAACACAAGGCGTGAAGAGAAATATTTAAATTGTCTTAGTACTTTTTACCCTGTCGCTGCGTTTCCAGAAAAATGTAAACAAGATTGAACATGGTTTAAAACAAAACTGAATTATTGGGTCACCCTTTAGTTTAGCCCTCACTGATTAACCATAGATTATACACTGATAAGCTCCTAATTGGCAATGAGCACTGATTAGTCTTTATTTATAATATGTCACTTTCCCATGTGGGTTAAGGTACAAACTCTTAACTTTTTCATATAACTCTGACCGCAGAATACTCCCAACTTTTACAGTCTTCCCCCAGAGGTTGGAATTGCCTTTTGTTGTTCTGATCTCTATGAGAACAGCATAAAAGTCAAATCTTTTTAAGATGTTGACGTTTTCTCTTGTGCCTCACATACAAAATTGACTCATAACCAAGGGAAGTAAAGGTCTTTTTTTGTTTTTTTGTTTGTGTTGATGCATTGACTCTTCACTGGTGCAGATCGGGCATGTTTTTGAATCAATTTGCTTTAATATCGAGCTAATTGTCAATGCAACATATCAACCCTTTTATTTAAATCATAAACCTTAAAATCGCAGGGCAGTAAAAACAAAGATTAGGATCAAACTGGTAAAATGTCCTTTGCAATTGTTCTAGTAATTGTCAGTGCCTGCCCAATGCGCCTTAGTATGAGGAAGCCCAGGCTCTGCTCTAATGGGGCCTGTCATTAATCTAACCATAAAAATCCAGCCTGTTGTGATTCGGATGTAATTAAAGCTATTGACGTGATTGACAGCGCCCCGTGGCGCCAGTAAAACGATGCGGCCTCGTGTTTCTACAGTGTGTGTGGATCTGTGCACATAGGTTCAGAGTCTAAAAGCGTTTAAGCATCTAACCCCAGGAGCGATGATTCTGTCGGCGAGTTTGACTTGCGGCTTGGTGCCAGAGTCTCGCACACGGACCTGGGTCTGAGGCCTGATGGAGAGTCCTGCTTTCATCCTTCTCTTTGCTCATTTTCCAAAGTACTTCCATCACTTAGCTGTGGCGTTGTTGTTGGCGCTTATCTTCTCTCTGCTGATTCAATCATTTCTCATAGTCTCAAACGGAATTACATTTGGCGTATCACTGTGATAATGGAGCGTATAAAGTGCAGAAGTTGGCAGGATGTAAAATGGCACAGTGCCATAAGAGGGAGATTAGAAACAGAGGATGTTGGCTGCTTTCTGCTATGGCAGATATGTAAAAGTGGTCCGTGGGATTGAAGAGGGGGGCAGTGTTCATTCTGACAGCCTAGGGGTAGAGGCTGTTGGCCAGTCTGCTGGTTTGGGCAGGGAGTGACCTGTTATGTTAACTGTTGCTCAGACTAGTTCTGACGGTTCAGCACAAAGTGGCCCATTTCTGAGTAAAGTTGGTTTTGCTGCAACAATTATATCCATAATCGTTGCCAATTATTTTTTTTGATTTAAGAACAACTTAACTTGGTCTAGATTGTAAATATAAATGGGCTACGTCCCCTTATTGTGTAGCTCAAATATATTCTGAAATTCACTTAACTCACTATCCTTTTATAAGACTCTTTGAACCAGGATGCTCATGATCAGGTGAATATTATGAAGGTTGGATATTTCATGGGGCGACAGTAGCTCAGTTGGTAGAGCATTGGCCTTTGGCCCTGAAGGTCGTGGGTTCGAGCCCACCGTAAGACCTACTTCACGACTCCCACTGATGACTGCTGTCGTTGTGTCCTTGGGCAAGACACTTAACCCTACTTTGCCCAAAGCCCCAACTGAAAGATCTCAGCTCCTGTGGACTCGCCACCTGCAGGAGGATCAGTGAGGGGCTGGTGCTCTGTGACTGGGTGCAGCTCTGACTGTCACCCCCCCGACCCAGAAATGGATTAAGGGGAGGAAAATGGATGGATGGATATTTCATAATTCCCTGTTACCTCTGTTTTATGCATGCTCTAGTATTACCTCCTAACCAGTTTGCACCGACGGCCAAAGCAATGTCCCAGTTCGTGACTTCCTGTTCCTCACTCCTGGCAATACAAATATTCAGATTCTGAGTTTCCACTCGCTGTTCTTTACACATTCGCTGTTCTAGTATCAAAGCGTGTGGTGTTTTCCAGGTGTCGTCAGCGTCACAAAGATCTTCAACTACTATAAGAAGTTTGGCTACAGCACGGTGGTGATGGGCGCCTCCTTCAGGAACACCGGGGAAGTGAAGGCTCTGGCGGGCTGCGACCTACTCACCATCTCTCCCTCGCTGTTGGCAGAGCTCAGCCAGGACCACAGCGCTGTGCCTCAGATGCTGCATGCGGAGAAAGGTGATGGAGGCCACAACAAAAACACAACACTAGACACTGGATATAACTCTGCAGACACACACACACTTTTATCTAGATTAAGAAAAGGTTCAACCCTCAGTGGGACTGGGATAATGCTTGGGTATAACTATGACAAAAAACTTAATGAATTGTACATTGAAAAATTTCTCCAGGCACGGTAATGATGACAATGGCACTAATATTGGCAATAGTGATTTGGGCAATAAATGATGATGATAACAATATTAATATTGAAATTGAATAATTAGAATAATAAAAATAACAATAATAAGGATAATGATAATGATAATAATAGTAATAGTAAGGGTAAAAATAATAGCGAACACAAATGGCACAGGGCAAGTGGAGAGGGGCCTTTCAATGAGGGTGAACAACCTGGAGTTGTTAGGCCCCACAATTTTTTTATTTTTTTTTTTTTACGCAACACTAGCACAGGGGAAAACGCAACATAAGTATTGTTATTTTCATTGTTTTCAAATATCTACTTATTTATTATTTTTGTACGTTGTTTCTTTATTGTTAGTTGCCGTTTGATTGTCAGTTATTGCATCCTGGTCTATATATGTGAAAGAGTATATGTGTTTGTATATATTTCTCAGCTTTATATCTCCCACAAGCTCAAACACTTACACATGCACACACACACATACTTACCTTACCCTAACCCCAGTAGTTCCTTTGTTGTTTATTGTACTGTAACTATGTATTTTCCTGTATGCCTAAATAAATATAAAAAAAAAGGTTTAAAAAAAAAAAAAAAAAATTTCTCCAGGCTGGAGTAGATGGCAAGAAATTTAGTTTTAATAATTTTCCATTTCGTTTTTATTTTGTTACAGGACTTGCATTTGTACCAACTTACTGCTGAATACAATGGCATTAGCCTGGTTGTACCACACCTTAGTACAAATTTCATTTCATACTAGGGTCTGGATTTGCTCCATTGAGCTCAGTTTACAGATGGCAGGGGTTAACTCCTTTTGCAGATTGAAACAATTGGATCTAAGTTTACTGTGACGTATGTAATGCGCCAGAGTCTGTTGTTAGCCTTAGCATTTAGCCTAGCCATCTCCTTTGCCGCTAACGGAGCCCGTGGGGAGTAGCGCCACAATCTTGACCAGCGATTACATTTGTTAAACATTCCTCTTGCTCCTGCTTCAATTTATTGATAGAACCAGACCGGATTACTTTACTATCGCATTCTTCACCACTGCCAAATCACAACCTGCCCGTTCGGCGCAAACTCTTGACGTCACCGGCACCGACCTACAACGCGCTCTCTGAGTAGCCGGTTGAAATACGACCGCTTGTAATCGCGAACACGGACCAGACGCTACATGCAGTGAAATGATGGCTACATTAGCATTGGTCTCAGATGGAGAATTACTACTGTCTTCTTGATCATGGTTGGTCAAAATGAGTTTTAATCAAAATATTACACAAGAAATGTAAAATGTGAGTTTTAAAATTCCTATAATTAAATGCATGAATTTAATCTCTCAGTGCAAATCGCAGCTGAATGAAAACAAAATACATCCTTGGTTAGAACAAGTCAACAGCCCAAAATTGCAAATGTAGAAATACAAAACACGATTCAAGACAATCTGCTAGACCTACGTGGCGATAAAATGCCTCATCTGTTTGTCGATGATTCTCCATTTTAAGGTTTAGAAGTTAACTAAGCGGTATTGGCTTTCTTTTTTTGTCTCATTAAAGAACCTTCTAAGCCTTAAACATAACACAACACTTTTTTTTGACTCTGCAAGCACAAAGGCTCATGGGGGATCATGTGTGAGGCGTGAATCCCATACTTATTCTTAAAGCGTGTCCAAGCGACTGCAGACAGAACTCTCCGGATCAACTCCTCCGCTGTGTTCAGGGACCTCCCACGTTACAAATGACTCACTGAATATCCATCGTTTGTTATCATGTTTCTTCAAAGATAATCTACTTGGGGGTTTTTCCTTCTGCTTGTCTACTTCCTCAAAGATGATTCTCCAAAGCACATGTTTAACAAATCTGAACTCACGCTCTACTTTCCGTGTTGTAGCAAAGAAGTGTGACCTGGAGAAGATTCACCTGAACGAGAAGTCTTTCCGCTGGCAGCACAACGAGGACCGCATGGCCGTGGAGAAACTGTCCGACGGCATCCGCAAGTTTGCAGCCGACGCCATCAAACTGGAGACGATGATTAAGGTCAGTCTCGGAGAACGCCAGTATCATCCCAGGTTTACTCTAGGAGCGGATCTGAGAGAGCTCCACAAGGGAAAGGTTAGCTGTAGTTTCTTTATTTTATCATTACCTTGAGAGCTACTTTTTCTGGGACAAAAGTTGCAGAGGGCTCATTTTTGATAAGGATAGTTTAAGATTAGATATTCCTTTATTCTGATACTGTTGTGTCATTGTTGCGCACATTACAGCAGAGAAAGGAGGAAATGATATTGCACACATCAAATAGTCTTAAGATAATCGACAATACAATTATAAGATGGTAAGGTAAAAAACTTTAGAGCTATAATTGCACTTGGTTCAGAAGTATTTTTATTGCACAGCTCATACATAACGCAACTCAAAGTGCTGAACAAAACCAAGATAGACATAATCACAAGTCATACATAACACATGATAATCACAGTACATTAAAACGTGTAGAGATGATATGGTATAGTTTGGTATGTACTTTATTTGAACAGGGACAGTGTACAATTAAACATTAGCACAAAGAGATGCACTGTACCAGGTTATAGCAAAGATGCTAATATCCACCTGTAGTCCCTGGGCAGGCTAGTGTTGTGTTCATTTAAACAGATTATAATGTAGATGGATACGTGACTGTCTTAAACTTACAGACTTTATATAACATCATTCACAAAACATTAAATTTAATACCAATAAATGCAGTTCCCCAACTTCTAAAGCATTACCCTCACTCACTCGTGTGTGCAAACATGCTTTTTCAGAAGCCATTTTTTTAGTCAGCCAAGAAAATGGTTGTTTGCAGCGAAACTTTGATATGAACATCGTCAGAGAAGAAACCTGTCGCATTTTTAGACTCTATAATTTTTGGGTATAACACTCTAAAACAAATGTATCAGTGGAGGAAGTAGGTTTTTTTTGTTTTTTTAATAGTTTGGAGACTTAAGCTTTTAAATAATGGCTCTTGTTTGTGTGTGCATCCTGAGTGACCTTTGGAAAAATGAGAATGAACTGTCCTCTGCAGAAAAATCTATATGGTGTGAAGGGTAAAAACTCTGCCACCAAAGTCTCAGATTCACCTCCACATTGTTGCACTGAGGCTGAAAGACCCACTCAAAATTAAAGTACAGAAAGTTATCGGTCTCTCTCGCTGTGTTTCTCTCTCAGCCACACCAACTACATATCACTGCAAAGAGGTTATATATTATGATTAGGTTTTTATTGTTAATCACCTTTTTTTTTTTTTTCTTCTACAGGACAAAATGCTCAGCGCTAAAAACGGACAGTAACGAAGACGGCAGCTCCAGATCTAGAAGTTTCTCCTGGACTTTAGACTTGGACTGAAACCACAAAGTCTCGTATTTTACGTAGATGTAATTTTTATTCAGATAATTCCCAGACATAATGGCACTTTATTAGCAGCCTTCTATGGATCAAACTGAATTGTAAACCACAAACACATTCCTCAGTAAAAAACTACTTGTAAAAACGTCTTTATTGTCTTAAAATTGTTCCGTCTCCGGTGAAAGATTAGAGGTGTCGCAGACGGAGCACCGAACAGGGTCTGCATCTGTAAACGCCCCGGCAGCTCTCAAATCATAAAAGATCCTCCATTAGTCCCACAGCGAGGAAATGTCAGTGTTGCATCATCAGTTAGAGATACATGAACAATAACTATATATTATGCTGAGATTGTTTTAGGAAAGAAGCAAGCGTGACATGCTGTTTATTCCGCAGCAGCGTCAAAATATTTTAGTCTGGGCCAAATTTAAAGAAAACTAATTGAACGTAAAGTTCTTGAGTTTGGATGTTTTCTAGTAGGTTTGAATTCAACCACACCTGAGCCAAAGATCTATTGGAAGACTGACTCAAATTAAATAACTAGATACTGTAATCTTTATTTATATACCGCCTTTCACAGACCAGAGTCACAAAGCGGTTTACAATTGTTATTATTTTTGAGCATTTGTCCTCTCACTCCACACAGAGATGGGAGACGCCACTTTGATCACTGGAGTAATTCAGGCGTCCAGTAGCAGCAGAGACTCATCCATCAACTCAAACAAAAAATCTAAGTGGTAATTAGGTCACAGCAGAGGTGGTGTAGCTTTTTTTTTTTTTCCCCTGCTCTGGTTAGGCTTAGGGGAGTGAAATTCTGAATGCCTTAGTTTATATTAAGTGGCGTTCCCCCAGTGGATCGCTGCTTGGTTCAGTCCATGTGTCTTCTCTGCCCTGGATCAGTGTAAAGCCATGGAAACTACTGCAGCGACATTTACAGGACGAGAAATGACAATTGTAATGCACAACTGTTTCAGAGCTACTCAGGACTTGCAGTTTCCAGCGAGTTCAAAAGTTAATACTAAAGAAATGTGAATGGCTCTCGCACTAATGCGTTTTAAAGTGAGACTAAAAGTAACTACTGTACAATATGGTCGTTTTCCTGGGACGACAGGCTTTAAAAATAAGTAACAGACCATAGTAGCCCCTTACATCAATGCTGCAAGTTACTGTCAGGGTTCATCATCTCAGGGGTCCCTAAAATGTACTTTCCTGTTCTAGTGCAATAAAAGTTTACTTCGGCCCATTTCAGCAGCACTAGACACGAGGTTCTGTATTGCACTTTCGGACATTAGTTTAAATCATTGCACAGATGCACGACATTGAGGTCAAGTCAGTGTTTTAGTCCTTATTGTTCGTCGTACAGTCTGGTAAACCAATGGTATCTATACTAACTACCCCAAGACCAGTATCTTTGCCACCTCTGGTTAATGCCTATAGCTCAGTGCAACACATCACTGCACAAAATGATAAAATATGAGCTAATAGTTGCTTGAATCAAGTGTTTTTCATCTTGAGTACGTTGTGACTGTTAACTAGATTCTCCAATAGGACAAAGACATTTTAGTCTTATTTCCAAGAACTGCTTTATTTTCTCATTTTGAGGGAAATCTTGTATCTTTTCAAAAGAATATCAGCCCTATTTTTATTTTTTGTTTTTTCTGCTACTGGACACCCACATTTCTCATACGGGGATCAATAAAATCTTTCAACCGCGTTACCTTCGTAGGACAATAATACTGTATGTCGTCTTTATTTGACAGTGGTCAAACTCTCGCTCAAACCCCCTTTTGTCCCTTATCAACCACTGTAATTCAAGATGGTGCATTGACAGAGAGTCATCCAGCTCTTATGCACATTTATAAGTCAAATTCTAAGCCTGCAACAACATTCAAAAACATGGTGGAGGTAAATAATTTTAAAAAGGTCAAACTTATTTTGTATTCACGTGTTTTTGTTAATTAGACCAACCGTACCAACTGCACAGCTTACCTTTTTAGGCTCAGTCATGCTCAGATTAGGACGCATTTTGTCACATTTAAGCTATTTTTGACCTTTTTCACAGTGTGGCACATCCAGAAAACATTGTTTCTCTTAGTTAGATTTAGAGTGTTATATAATGTACAGAAAGTAAAGTTCACGGCTTGCCTCTGTGACGTTCAGCCTTTGTCTCTGGTCCCGGCGGCCTCCAGTCGGACCTGTTGGACTCCATTCTGCGGCTGCCCAATTTTAGACTCGACTCCTCCTCAAAGCAGGTGGATTTGAAGACGTTTCAAACTTTTGGTAGTTATTCAAACGGAGTATTTACAGCAGCTTGGATTCTCAGTGAAGGTAATCCTGGTTTTGATATTTCAGATGATTAGAGTTTTATGAAAGATGATGAAGGCTAATTGGTTTGAGGTTGCAAGACTGAAGGTACAGAAGTAGATCCAGTTGGTGTATGGATATTATGTTTTAACTGAGAGCCAAAAAAATCTCTCACTTTAAGATGTATTTTTGTGGGAGCTAGAATCTGGTCCAATGCATCCCCACACCCTGTAAAATTTAAAAAAAAAAATCATACCATACCATAGCCTCAGACATTTCTTACAGTAGATAGGTGTAATTTCTTTTAAAGCTATAGGTCCAACACATTCAGAGAGTATTCTATTGTATCTTTTTGCTTAATAACATTTTGATACTAAATAATATATAAAACCTCTTTACTGTAATTTTGTCTGGAACTGGTCATAAACAGCCAAAGAGCTGCTGAATCCTGTTTCGGGTACATTTTGTGTCAAGTTGTGTCAACGTCACATTTGCTTCTTTGGCTTTGAACTTAACGCAGCACTGTTTTCTGAATGAAATATACGTAAAATATGTGGTTATTTCATGTTTAGAATCAGCTCCTTTTGTCAGTATTGCATGCAGCTGTAGGCGTTAAACCGAGGTGGAAAAATCACTGGTGTGTGTGGTTTAAAGTATAGATATCAGATTTGTCTCCTGTTAAAGTGCTTAGGTACACTGCAAAAATGATGAAAAATAAGTCAGCTATGGCACAATTTCTAACAAAAGTATCTGCAAAAAATGTCTCGTTTGGAATGAGAAAACAAAGCAACAGTTCTTGAAATAAAACCAGACTCATTGGAGAATCCTGTTTTAACAGTCAGAATGTGTTCAAATTGAGATAAAAACCACTTGATTCAAGCAATTATAACCTTATATCTTGTAATTTTTTTGCAGTGTACCTAGAAAAGCTTGTAATTTTACACTGAAAATACTAAATATGAGGAAAACTGCTTGAATCAAGTCTTTTTTAATCTTAATTTCACACATTCTGGCTGTTTTAAAACTAGATTCTTCAATGGGACACATACATTTAGTATTATTTCAAGAACTGTTGCTTTATTTGTTCATTTCAAGATAAAATAAGACAATTGTGCTTAGTCCAATTGATGAATCTTGTGAGAAATATTTTATTATTACATTATTTATTATTATTTTTTTTAGCACTTTTTGCAGTGTATGAAATAAAATGCATTTTGTTCGATAATTACTCGATAATTACTTCAAACGCTTGAATATTTTACTGAAGAAACGTTTGTCAATGACAGAAAATAATACAATAAACTATCAAATCTAAAGGTGGAACTTGAGCTGAATGTTCCTGAACCATAAATTCTTTAACCTCAAACCTGTTTTAAAACGCTTCAAAATTATTTATTTACTGTATAATTTGTCGTTTACATTCTACTCTCTTATGTTGAGAACTGAAGGATTTTTGACTGATGGAATTCTCAAGGCAAAAACTCAAAATAAATATAAAATAAAGATTTACGTCACGGAATAACTGCCCACTTCTGCGCTACACTGCAAAAAATGATAAAAAAGTAGTCATTTTGGAGGGAGACATTTCTGTATATTTTAAAACAAGATCATTTTGCTTTGTCCCATTGAAAATTTGGGTGAGAATGTTCTCAGATTAAGACAAATTTGAGCAATTTTTGACTGATTTTCCATCTGTTTTTGCAGTGTATCGTCTCTCTCTCTCTCTCTCTCCATATAACTTTAAAGTGATTGTCTGGAGTTTGTCAGAAAGAGACAGAGGTACTTGATTTGAAAAAAACGACGCAAGCTCCTCCCCCTTCCTTTCTGAGTGGTCTACACCTACGTTTCCATAACAGATTTAAATGTTAATCAGAGAACACATTATACAGATACATTATCAATACACATGCACGGAGGTTTTCAGAATTATTTGTTAACGTTTTAATGAAAAAAATAATGTTTTTATGCACACAAAAAAGCGATCGCGACAAACCCTGAAGTAGCTGTTATCATGAACTGCACATTATAGGACACATCTGTAGAGGGTCTGATTATGGATATAGGTTCAGTTTATAAATCATTATGGATATAGGTTCAGTATATAAATGATTATGGATATAGGGTCAGTATATACATAAGTACCTCAGCGCGGATGTTCAGAATTCTTTGTTCAGGTTTCATATAGTTCCAGAGCCTAATAGAGGCTTGAATCGGAGGCTCCGCGAAAACAAACAACTGAGCATGAGCGCCGATGATTGACAGCCCTTGGCAAGACTCGATTGGTTAACCTCGACAGCACCGTGGATTCTGAGCTGTACCTAAGTGAAGGGAAGGCGGGACTTGTCTAATATTAGAATTAATAAAATTACTTATTTTATGTCAACATTTAAGGCCAGGAGATCAATTTAACACATTTCCTAAAATTTGTAATTCATTTAGAGTTACAGACTATCCCTTTAAATAAAATGTAGTTTTAAAAAGCGCCTTTCAGAAGTACAGCAGAATAAAATCCAAAAACATTATTAATGTTGGAGCATTTGACCTGTGTGAGAATATAAACGTGTGGTGACTGTGGGAGAGTGGGGAGGGGGAGGAGGGGGGTGATTCTGGGGGAGGTCTGAGAGGTGAGTCCTGTGGAGTCTGG